TGAATTCAAGGTCAGAGGCCAGTTTTCTGAAACTGATGTGAACACAAGAAATCTGAAAGATGTCACCTGGGATTTTACAAACGTTGCTCCGCCCACTGCCAGCAAGGTTAAACAGCCTGAAGGTCGCGGTGCCTCCGTTTGTGAGAGAGGGTCCAGCACTGATTAATGGCAGATGATCAGTCTTTGCTTCAGAGCTTCGTTTGAACTGGTAGTGCTCTGTGATCGTCATGGAAACATGACTAAAAATAGACCTGCAGTAGAAGCGTGTCTATGAGTGGCGTGTGACATTAAGCCCACAAACACACTGATGACACAGCAGCAGCAGTGATGTCATAGTTTAATGAGTCTGTCTACACACGGTGAAGAGCAAAGAGGCGGAGCTTAAATGGCACGTAAATACAATCAAAGGGTGTTTCTGAGAAGTGTGAGTCTTCTTGTCTGTGCTTCAGACTACAAGACTACAACACTAAGACTTCAGTGTTATTTACTGTTTGCCTCCTGCAGCTGGAGCAGCCACAGCTTTGTGGTACAAACACAAGGCCGATTGTTCGGCGTAGCTGGAGGAGTAAACAACAAACACATACAGAGCTACACACAGGAAGCAGCAGAGGAGCAGGTTACTCCTCAGTCTTTCTGAGCACTGGGAACTGTCACGTTATTAATAAGAAGACGGCTGCTGCAGCAGGTCAGAGGTCAAAGTGTTGTGCGCGTTGTTCCTGACGTCTCGCCATGTTTCCTTTCAGGAGAGGAAGAAGATGGTGAAGGAGGCTCAGCGAGAGAAACGTCGAACCAAAGTACCCAAGCACGTGAAGAAGAGGAAGGAGAAGGTGGCCAAGACGAAGAAGGGCAGATGATGAGTACTTCCACCTAACAGCCAATCACCAGTGAGCAGAGCTGCTGCTAGTGAACTTTATGAACAACAGAAACTTTATTTGTACAAATTAACAGAATAAAGTTTTTTTCCCATGATGGTGTTGTCTTTGCAAGAGTCATGTGACCAAACTGCTCGCAGTTTCTGCTGATTATTCCTTGGTTGAAGCCCCACCCCCTCGCTGGGTTTGGTCTATAAATAAAGTCCTCCCCACCCTCTTCCTCTGACTCCTCCCCTTCTGCATCGATTAGTCATAAGTGGTGACAGCTGGATTCGCCATGGCGAAGGAAGATGAGTCATGTGGGAACAGGGTTGGGAAAACTTAAGCCGCTGTGAGATGAGCTGGATCAGCCTGAATCTGTGACCCGGATTGGCCCCGCCCCTCCGTCCAGGTGAACTCTGACCCGGTTTGTGGATCCAAGTTGACCTGCTGAGGCTGATTACGGTGATACTCAGGTGCTTTAAAGTCTGCCATCACATGTGAGCATGAAATGTAATC